CTCTTCTTTGCAATTCAAAGAGAAAACCATGTTTGCTTCTCTTATGTGTCTTATTTGTTTCTTTTAATGAAGGTATTGTTCTGAGTCCTAAGTCACTTGGATAGTAATTCTTATATAAATCTTCCAAGCACATAATTGATTGCTATTTATGCTCAAATCTTATAATAGATAAACTAATATAATACAAGCTTCCCAAATTGAACCAAAGATTTTAAAGAAAACAAATCCTTTAATCGCAGCACTTGGGAGGCAGAGACAGGCGGAGCTCTGTGAGTTTGAGACCACTTTGTTCTACAGAGTAAGTTTCAGGAAGACCCCAAAGTTATAAAGAAACCTCGTCTCAAGAAAAAGAAAAGTATAAAATGTGTAAAATTAACAATATGGTTGTATTTGGTTTCTTTGGCATCAACTTAGTGAGGCAATGTTCTAAAACTGTGGTCTACATAACTACAAGTATTTGCAAAAGACTAGCTGTGTTAGCTCACATAGTGAGTCCCTGACCAGCACCGAGTTGCTGTACCTTGCATTCGGGAAGTTTATGTTTTATAGCACAGCTGAAATATTACTTTTAAAATCTATAAGCTAAGGAACTAAGTAGTAGATACTTTTGCTGAAAACGAGCATTTTGATCATTTAAAACAACTTGAATTACTAACAGAAATGAGTTTCTAGTATAGTCAAGAAAAGTTCAGCTCCACTGTCTCAGTGGGTGGGTGCACCCCTTGTGGTCCCGACTTCTTTGCTCATGTTCTCCCTCCTTCTGCTCCTCATTGGGACCTTGGGAGCTCAGTCCAGTGCTCCAGTATGGGTCTCTGTCTCTATCTCCATCCATCACCAGATGAAGGTTCTATGGTGATATGCAAGATATTCGTCAGTATTGCTATAGGATAGAATCATTTCAGGTTCCCTATCCTCAGCTGCCCAAGGAACTAACTGGGGACATCGCCTTGGGCTCCTGGGAGCCACTCTAGGTTCAAGTCTCTTGCCAACCCTAAGGTGGCTCCCTTAACTAAGAATTGTGCTTCCGTGCTCCCCTATCCAAACTTCCTTTATCCCAATCATCCTTTTTCCCCAAGTTCCCCCAATCCTCCCCTTCTCCCTTTTCTCTCCCCATATCCCCTTACCCCCATCCCACCCCACCCTCAAGATCCCAATTTTCTCCCTGGCAATTTTGTCTACTTCCCATAGCCAAGAGGATAACTATGTTTTTCCTTGGGTTCCCCTTCTTACTTAGCTTCTTTAGGTTCACCAATTGTAGACTCCGTGACCCTTATTTATGGCTAGAAACCAATTATGAGTGAGTACATCCCATGTTCATCTTTTTGGGTTTGTGGAGCTGATCTATTGGGAGCTCACCAAGGCCAGCTGGACTGTGACTGAAAAAGCATGGGATAAAACCGGACTCTCTGAACATGGCGAACAATGAGGGCTGATGAGAAGCCAAGGACAATGGCACGGGGTTTTGATCCTACTTAATGTGCTGGCTTTGTGGGACCCTAGCCAGTTTGGATGTTCACCTTCCTAGATATGGACGGAGAGGGGAGGACCTAGGACTTACCACAGGGCAGGGAACCCTGACTGCTCTTTGGACTGGAGAGGGAGGTGGAGAAGAGTAGGGGGAGGGGGAGAAGGGTGGGAGGAGGGGGAGAAGGGTGGGAGGAGGTGGAGAAGGGTGGGAGGAGGGGGAGAAGGGTGGGAGGAGGGGGAGAAGGGTGGGAGGAGGGGGAGAAGGGTGGGAGGAGGGGGAGGGAAATGGGAGGCTGGGAGGAGGCAGAAACTTGTTTTTTTTTTTTCCTTTTCTCAATAAAAAAAAAGAAAAAAGATAAAATAAAAAAAAAGAAAAGTTCAAAAGTATTTCCTGGATCAGGAAGCAAAGTCTGCCAGAGTATTGCCTTCCCTCCCTTCTGCTGCAGAGCTGATCTTAATGGTGATTGTAGTAGTGAGCATTCATTGGGGGAGCAACAGCCAAGTGCCACCCAAAACTGAAATTATTATTAACTTCACAACTGTTATTTAATTAATAGATTTATTTACTCATTTATTTGTGTGTACATGGTTGTGCCTCTGTGCAAGTGTGTGTACATGTCATGTCATTGGTAGGGGACAAATGCCAACTGTCTGGAGTCGTTTTTTCTTTATGCCTTTGGTTCCAAGTGATAGAATTCAGGCCCTTAGTCTTGAGAATAAACACCTTTTCTCACTGAGTCATCTTGCCTGCCCTTCTGATTTGTTTCAATGTTGCAATAATTGTAGAAGAGGAAATTGCAACTCTGCTTCTTACAGTAAACAAATTCTTTTGAGTGTTTACTTCATTCTTTGGGAATTATTTGAAACTTCCTTAAAATATGTGAACTTGTAAAGTCTGGGAAAAATATTGACCAGAGAAACTATAGCTATAAAAAGAAAATAAGTTCTTGCCAAATTTCTGTGGAAATATGTAGGGACATGTGCTTACATTGTCCCTGTTTCAAATATGAATAAAAATAGTTACATATGTAGAGACTAAAAGGGTTGATCTGGAAGATGATGAGAGCCCAACAGCAGTTACTAGAGACGGCTATGGAGAGAGTAAAGAGAGGAGGGCTCATTCAATGTCACAGTTATATAGAAACAAACCCTCCAGGCCTGCACCAGCAGAGTGGTCGCGAACAATAATGAGGTACATAAATAGTAAGAAGAGTAGTCAGTGTACTACAAACAAAAAGCAAAAGTTGAAGGTAATGAATAACGCTGTACCTTTTCATAGATTACTATAAATTCATGCATGAATTAAAATATTACTGTGCACTTCATACCAATGCTACCTGTTGGTAATACTGATGCTACCTGTCAGTCAAAACAACAGTGATGTAAAAGTGTTTGAAGTATCTGAAATCATGAGTGTCATTGATCTCTAACCGTGTGTCTAGGAATTGCTTCTGCTCTGGCACAGAGTGCAAATGGAAAATGGCTTCCATAGTGATCTAGGATCCTCTCCCTTTGCCTTTCTCTCAGTTAAGCGATTTCATTCATCCCCACACAGAGAATATGGAGTCAGGAAGCAAACACCTAGGAATCATGCTTTCTGAAAGGACTCCTTCATGGTCTAATTAAAACATTTGCTTTCAAGGTCTCATCTGTAGACCCCTTTGTGTCTATTCTAAAGATCAAATTATAAATGAATCATGATGAGAGCAAGAAAAAATTAATTACAAGGTCTGAAAAGTGGCTGCTCTTTGTGTTTATAATTATGAGTAAGTGCATCTGAGGGAATGGTAGAAATCTAGAGAGAAATATGATAAAAAGAAAAGATCCTATCAGTACACTTTCTTCTAATAAAAAGCAATCGTTTATCATTTTAACAGTAAAATCTTACTGAATAGACTAATAACTACAGATTTAATTTAATTTAGACATGACTTACATAGAAATCACAATTTACAATTTGAAACCATTTAATCTACAATATCCTAAAGAAATCTTTATTCGGATCATAATTGAGGTAAAATATTTGATACTTGAGGCTTATTTATATATTACAGTTTTTTTTCAAAGAATCTTCCATCTTTAATCTTGTAAAAAAAATGATCCATTGTAATTTCAGTTCTCTAGTGATGTCATAATTATGTGAACATTCCAATTGCATCATTGGCTTTGAATTTTATTTTATAATATTGTGTGCAGGTTTGTTTTAATGTTTATTCTTGATTTTTTTTAGATTAATTTTTAAATTGTGAAGTATTTCCTGGACTGCCTCTTCCCTCAGGTGGAGTCAGTAGGAGCCCGAAAACTAGTGTGAGATTGGCAATTTGTCATGGATCTTTCACAAACTAGATAAGACCAGTGTGGATAATCTCAGTGTGAAAAAACTGTAAACACCTTGGGGGTGTAAAACAAGAACTAAGGAAAGTTACTTCAAAGCTCAAGGCCCCCACAGTAAATACCTCTCAGCAAGCACCTGCTAAGATAAGTTAATGTCAAGAACTCACACAGAAGGGGCACTTGTAGGTTCTCAAAATTTCACCATCTTATCTGCAGATATGTAGACTGCATCTTCATGATATGATCAAGAATTAGAAAGGCTTTGGCAAACTAAAATTTGGACAATATATCATGGAGTTACTTAGCTCCCTTTCAACTTGTTTTAAGAAAATAACAAAAAAGATAGAAATATTCACTGCCATTTAGAATATGGGTTTTGTTGTTGATGTTGTTTATGCAGGCATAGCATTTTAGGAAAACTCAAGACTGAGGATGTAGCTCTGTGCTAAAGTGTTTGCTTAAGCTCGTATGTGAGGTCCTGGGTTTGGTCCGCATCACTGCCAACAGCCCCAAAAACAAAACCCTCAAATAAATGTAAGGAATAGAAGCTCACCTCTAAAAGATCTAGCAGTTTAGCGGACAATGAGGACTACTGAGAACTCAAGAACAATGGCAATGGGTTTCTGATCCTACTGCATGCACAGGCTTTGTGGGAGCCTAGGCAATTTGGATGCTCAACTTACTAGACCTGGATGGAGGTGGGGGTTCCTTGGACTTCCCACAGGACAGGGAACCCTGATTGCTTTTTGGGCTGGGGGGGGACTTAATTGGGGGAGGGGGAGGGAAATGGGAGGCGGTGGCGGGGAAGAGACAGAAATCTTTAATAAATAAATTTATTAATTAAAAAATTAAAAAAATAATAATTCTGGAAAAAAAAAGAATACAGATGGATGAAAATGGAAGGTTTGGTTTTCTGTAGTACTGTGTTGAACTTCGTTAGCCTAACATTCACTCTGAGGTAAGAGTCACTCTGCACTTTTAAAAGTGTACCAGCAGTTCTACTGGACGCTGACAAATTATATGAGCATTTTTACTCTATCCAGAACAAAACATATTGTTAATCAGACATTAAGATGTTAAGTATTTTTTTTCTGTTTTAATGTCCCTACAAATATGACTGCAATTGAATCATAGCTGTTTTGGTTATAATTTTATCTGGCAATCTTTCTTAAAAAAATTTCCTGTTCTTCTCATTATAGGTTTCATATACACTGGAGAAGTTGTACACCGAATGCTAACAGCCACACAGTACATAGCACCTTTAATGGCAAATTTTGATCCTAGTGTATCCAGAAATTCAACTGTCAGATACTTTGATAATGGTATGTATTGATTGCCTAATTTGTGTTGAATTATATATGTGTGTGTATGTATATGTATATATGTATGCGTACATAGAAACATCAGTTTCTTATCAACATTGTTTTTGGCTTTTCTAGTACATCTGGGGTGTAAGTACACCACCTTTGCTTGGTGCTGCCTTGCTCTGGTACAGGTTAAACTGTTAGAAGTGATACAAAGTAAATGCATGACAAGATAGCTGTTCACTCAATGGTTGACAAACTCATTTGCTCATTCAGAAAATGTTTATTTACATCTGTTGCACAGTAGAATCCATGAGTGACTATAGTCAGAGGTCCCCATAAAACAAACTTGTATTTGACACCATTTGCAATAAATCCTTTTTATTAAAAATATCTAAAGAAGTATAAGTCTAAAACTGATGAACCTTAAGTAGAGGCAAGTGATATACTCTTTTTTTGAAATTCAATTTTTACAATATATTTTCTGCAACTTGTGCATCAATATACTGAACACATCATGATGGGACTGGAACCTGACCAGTTTGTTCAATCACATCAGCACTAGCTTTTTGTTGTTGATGATTTCCATCACTTACTAAGCTTTTCTTTCATTCCTTTTTACAAGTTAGAAACTTAGCTGGGTGAGATCTTGCCCGGAGGTCCCTTAGTGGATATAACCTTTGGCTTTCCTTTAAAAATTTTGTCTCCCTGAGCACTACAAACACCTCTATTACACTTCCCAGTGCTCCTTTTCACCTCAGAATGTACGTTTTGTATTTCTCTTCATTCTCCTTGCTTCCTTTTCTTATAAACCAATCTAAGAATAATTGTGAATAACCACATGACACAGTCAGTCCTAGGCTGTCTTGGAATCTCCTCTGCCAATACCATTCATCTAAAACTTTGCAATTTAGCCTCAGACAATTTTTTGAGACAAGGACAAAAAGGAACCACATTCTTTGCCAGGATGTCATAAGAACAGATGGTCTCTAGGTCACTTTCTAGTAGTCTTCCCATCTGAATCCTCTTGAGATGGCCCTCACAGTACAAATCATGCACAGTACTGTCTTCCATGCTCTTAAAAGAATGTCTCATTAAGCCCCATATTAAGTGTCTAACCACTATTCTAGTCAGAAATCTCAAATTCTTCCATATTTCTCCAACAAACAGCATAGTTAGGTCTATCACAGCAATACTCTGCTCCCTGTTACCAACTTCTACCCTATGATGTGGAAGGGTCTTTTGTTTGTGTTGATTTCATTGGTTAATAAAGAAACTGCCTTGGCCCATTTGATAGGCCAACCCTTAGGTGGGTGGAGTAGACAGAACAGAATGCTGGGAAGAAGGCAAGTGAGCCAGATGTCATGGAGCCAGCTGCCAGGTCAGACATGCTGAATCTTTCCAAGTAAGACACAACTTCATAGTGCTACACAGATTATTAAAAATGGGTTGATCAAGATATGAGAATTATCCAAGCAGAGGCTAGGGCTAACGGGCCAAGCAGTGTTAAATGAATTCAATTTGTGTGTTGTTATTTTGGGGCATAAGCTAGCCAGGCAGCTGGGAGCTGGGCGGCAGGAACACAGCCCTTTGCTCCTTCTACAACCCCAGTCAGTGTTCTATTGAGAAGAGACACCATGAACACAGCAATTCTTAAATGATGAAGCATTTAACTGGGGACTTGCTTACAGTTTCAGTGACTTAGTCCATTATCATTATGATGGGGGCATTAAGGAAGACATGGTGGTGGAGAAGTAGTTGAGAGTTACATCCTGATTTGTATTCAGAGAGAAAGACATGTGATTGATAAAGGCATTTGAAACCTCAAAGCTCACTCCCAGTGACACAGTTTCTTTAATAAGGTCATGCCTCTAATCCTTCTAATCCTTTCAAATAGTAGCATTTCTTGGTGACTAAGCATTCAAATATATGAGCCTATGGGAGCTCATCCTTATTCAAACCACCACTAAAGTAATAAGGGAAATAATATAATATATCATTAAATATCATTAAAAGTCAAATAAAAGACTCTAGGTCTTAAACAATAAATGAATATTTACTTTGATAGCTTATTAAAAAGTAAAACTTTGAATAGGACATAAAAGTATAGGCAAAGAATAATTTATATCAGAAGGAATACAATTAAAATAGAATTTTGTGAACAATTTAAGTTATCAAGTACCATTTGTTTGCTCAAATGACAAGGTTTTCCTTTTTGTAAAATAAATTGCTTTCTCATGTAATGTATCCTAATCACAGTTTTGCCTTCCTCTACCCTCCATATTCCTCCCACTTTGCTTCTGATCCAGATCCACTCTTTTTCTTTTTCTATTTAGAAAAGAAACAGTATTCTTAGGGATAACAATATCATATATATATATACATATATGTGTGTGTATTATATATTAAAGATAAAACAAAGCTAACACACAAAAATATTAAAAATCATACAAACAGAATGAAATGAGATCAAAAAGCAGAAGAAACATATACATACAGAGATCTATTTGTTTGCACACTCAGGATAACCTTAAAACACAAATCTGGAAACCATAATATGTGTGTCTCTAGAATTGTAATATATACATTGGATTTTAAAATAGATAGGTGATAGAATTTTAAAAAGAAAAAGAAGAGCTCTGACACAAAAGTTTGTCTAGTCTTGGCTATTTATTGCTCAGCATGAAACCTATCATTCAGAGTAGTTTATTTCCCCCAGTGAAACTCCATTAGAAAAACCCTAAAATTTCATTTGCAAACAGTTATCAGTTGGAGATAGAGATAGCTTCTGGGTTAGGTATGGGGGTGTTTATCCATTTCGTTCAGCTCTAGGACCTCTTCTGGTGTAGATCCATGCAAGTCCTGTGCATTTGGTTAAAGATAATGGTCCAGGAGCATAGGATGTTTTTTGTTTTGTTTTGCTTTTCTTCCTTCTTTTTATTTATTCTTTGTGTCTTTTATATCATCTGCCTCTATCCCATTCATTTCCCTGTTCCTTTATATCCTCCCTCTGCCCCTTCAACCCTCCTCCCCTAAAATATAAGATAAAATAAAATTTAAGAAAAAAAGAGAAGGAAAATATCAGTCTTGTCTTGGAAGCTGTAGTGTGACACAGTGAGTTAGGCAGTAAACCCTTTATAATACATATATTTACTTGCAAGTGTTCATTGTAAAGTGTCATTGGACTGGTTTGAGGCCTCTGGTTTCTGCTTCACTATTGATATTGGGGGCTCACTGCAATTCCTCTTGGCTATCCTGCTGTTGCGCTGCGTTATGGAGATCATGCAACTTTGGGTCTGCGGGATCAGTCCTTTCACATGCTGCAGCAGATCACAGATAAGTTGGATGTTGGGGTGGATCAACACACAACCCTAATAACTCTTCCTTGCCCTAACCATCAGGGTGTGTTCCCTGCATAGTTTACCCCTTGTGGTTATGAGCAATGGATAGGGCCAGTTCTCCTGCTTTCATGTTCTCGGGGTCAGATCTCTCACATCTTCACCTCCAGGGCCAACTCTACTGTGTTGTCCAGACATGGTGTAGGGGACATTCTCCCAAGTGATGCAGCTGATGAGAGACAGGGCCATCTCAGCTCTCCCAGTCTTATGACTTCAGGGCCAGCTCTCAGCTGCCTCAGGTATTGATAGGTATGGGTGGAGCATTTCTACCCCACCTAGGACTCCACATGATAGATGGGCAATAAAGACAGCTCTTCCATGCTCACAACTCTGGGCCTGGCTCATCCACACCTACACCCATGGGGTTGGCTCTATTGTGCTACCCACTCAAGGTGCAGGACCTGTACTCCCAAGTATTTCATCTAGTGGGAGGGGTGGGTGGGACAAGGGCAGCTCTCTCATCCTTATGATCTCAGAGACAGCTCTCCCAAGCCCATGCCACCCCTTGACAGTTGAGTAGCGGGGACAGGCCTCCATACTCACAACTTGGGGCCTGGTTCCCCCACACCTCTGCCCTTGAGATTGGCTCTATTGTGCGGCCCTCTCAAGGTGCAGGGCCTGTTCTCTAAAGTGTTGCACCTGGTAGTTGGTAGGAGCAGCTCTCTTGCCCTTATGACCTCAGGGTCAGCTCTCCTACCTGCCTCAGGGATTGATGCCCATGCCTCCACATGACAGGTGAGTAATGCGGACAGCTCTCCCATCCTCACAACATCGGGACTGACTTACTCGCACCTCTGCCAATGGAATTGGAGGAACACAGAATGTTAAGAACCAGGATTTTATGTTACCAACATAAAAAAAGTCATAAGTATATTGAGTACTCTTTCTTCCCATATGTTCTCATGTTGTTTATCCCTTTCTTACAATTACTGTTTCAAATTAATATAAACTGCTCCACGTGGCCTCTACATTTTCAACAAAGATAGCAACTCTGTTCTAAGAAATCTATCTTCAGTACCTAGCATAGGAACATAGGGCATGATGTGTCACAATAAGTATTCAATGACTGAATAAATTAAAAACATAAGTAATTAAGATGAATTTTTATTCCTAAGAATTTTGGAATCGTTACCACTCAAGAATAAAGTATTTTCTCTCAGTGATGAAGCTTCTGTATGATAGCCAAGGGGATATATAATTCCCAAGATATAGTGAAAGCTGCTACTGCTATGTAATTTATTAGCAAATGAAGCCACTTGAAACACTGTACAGCTTTTTATGTCATAGAAACTTGCTGAAGAAGCTTCTGAATTGATCACTGACATCTACTGCAGGATGGAATAAACCTTCCTGTGGAGACAGTTGCAGGCCACACAGATTCTTCCTAAGTTAAAATGTTAGGATTAAAGCAACCACATTAAAAGCAAGCTGATGCTTCTAAATGTTACAACTATCCAGATAGCTGCTATGTGAGGCATGATAGTAATGTGCAAAAGGGGGTCTATAAAAACAGTATCATCTATTAGAAAAATATTTTGACGGTTTGTAAATAGCAAATCAGATAGTACAGCTCCTAACAGTGTTGAGAAATCTGATCAAGCATAGAACAGAAGTTGACAG